TTTTTTTTTTTTTTTTTTTTTTTTTTTTTTTTTGTCGTAAGCTAACATATTTTTCGTTTTACCCTAATTGCTTTAAAATTACGAGCTAAATTGAATAATCTTTTGACTGGGGGGAAAAAAATTTTTTTTCCTCAAACAGCAGTCTGTTTTTATGAAAAGTAACAATTGTTGGATAAAACTTAATTTGTTGAGGCCACCTCCTGCCTGTCTCCGTTTCCAATTGCTAGTAAGAAGTTAAGTTTTGAGAAGGAAAAAAAAAAACTTTTATTTCATTTGTCATTAAAACGAAACTAAAAATTGCCCTTATGTGTATCTGTGTGTTGTTTGTGTGTGTATGTGTGTGTGTTTGTGTGAGCGTATGTGTTCAAACGAGTTCTAATTATCGCCTTTTCGTTTTATTGTGATTGATGAATTTTTTTTTATTCTGTCGGTGAATTTCCATGGCAACATTACATTCATTTAGCTTGTTGAAAGTAATAAGCTTTAGCGCAAAACATACTTAAGCTGACACATCTTCTGTTGTTTAACGTATTATGCATGAGGGGCGACGTCGTAATGGTTGGTCGTGGCCACCATCATTTAGGCAAATTCTTTGTTGGCTTATCATACTGTTTATTTTACCTCTAACTGCATTTATGTTTGTACCACTTCACGTTTTCTATGCTCCGTTGGTGATAGGAGTTGTCGCTGTTTGGATAGTGGTTTTGGTTGTTCTGTTAACTACAATTGATCCTGCCTACAGCAGGGTGTATACATTTGCCAAAGCCGTTCACTTCGATGCATCTAAACATGCTCATGTGATTGAAAAATTCTATTGTAACGTCTGCCAAATACATGTGTAAGTTGATTTTGTGTATTTGTTTCTTTAAAAAAAAAAATTTGGAACAAAGCAAACGGAAATGCGATGTGAAAAAAGAAAAAGAAAAAGCAAAAAAGCTGAAAGAATAAGGAAAGACAGAAAGTTTGGAAAGAATTTAATGTTTACTTCCAATCCGTTTCAAATTTGGGTAATTCTAATAATGAAAAAGTAATGGAAAGAAAGTTGCGCTAACAGATTGTTGTTGGATGTCAACTTTAGTTTTCAAACTTTTTTTTTTTTTTTTTGCTATGTAATTTCTATGCTGTATATTGTCTATGGAAAAAAAAAAAAAATTTTTATTTGTTTAAGAATTCTTTTAATCCTTCCTGTTATTTTCTTTTTTTTTAACATTTATTTTCATCTTCTGCCTGTTTTTATTCGTTTTATTTTGTTCGGACTGTAGCTGTATGAGAACTGAATGAAAAACAGTATATAACAAATGTGTGTGTATAATTTGTTATTTGAATGGTTCAAATCATACATCAGTTTTTTTTTTTTTCTTTCTTCTTTCGTTTCCTTCTGCTTGATACTTTTTTCTGCCATTACTGGCTACAACTATCGCCGATAGTTGGTGGTAAGTGTTGATAGTGGTGTCAGTTGCAAAAAAGAACAGGTGAAAAATTTTTGAAAAAAAAAAAACATTTCTTCAACTGTAACATTTTTTTTGTGCACTTTTTTTGCTAGTTTTGACGTAAGTTTTTTCAAAAAAAAAAAATAAAGAGCGGTTTTGTGTCCAAATGTTCTGCGTTGATGTTGGTATTGGGGTGTGGATGTGAATATGTTGGGTATTTGTAGTTGTTGTTGTTGTTGTTGTTGTTGTTGTTGAAGAAATAAATGAAGGAATAGAATGGTTGATGTTTGGTTTGGTTTGGTTTGGTTTGGTTTGATTTGATGTGTTGGGTTGAGGTATGAAAATTTTATTATGAGCAGATTAAGTTTTTTTCTTCTTTTTTTTTTTTTCAAGAAGGCCTTCAAATTGAGGGTGTCAATTTTTATGTTGTTAGCAAAGAAAAAAAAAAAACGGAAAAATATGTTGGTATATAGTTTAATTTTATTTGATTAGGTTTTTTTTTTTCTATTGTGCTGCGTGTGTTTGGTGTTTTTTTTTGTGCTGCAAAGAAAATTACTTTTCTTTCATTTTTTCCTTCTCCTCCTCCACTTCCTCCTTTCTTCGAATAACATTTGTCACTATATTGTAAAACTGGTGACTGTGGATGCTACTGATGACGACGTTTGATGAAGGAACAGACAGTTTTGAGGTGCAAAATGATGCTGATGATTCATTGAAACAGTGAAACTCATTGCGCCACATTGATATCCTTTTTTCCCGTATATATTACTCTGTATTCGTTTACTTCTATAATCATCATCATCATCTTCTTCTTCTTTTTCAACTTTTTCTTATCTAATCTATGTGAACACATTACCGATGATACAACTGCTGGTTAGTTGGTTGAGAATTTAAAGACAAAAAAAAAAACAGAAGCAGAAAGATGAATAGAAAAGAAAAGAAAAAAGTAGGAAACAATGGTAAAA